GATACAGTGCAGTAAATTCAAGCTTGTTATGTTTAATCTTTTATCTCTTTTCAGGCCCTGGAACAAGTGTGGACACACACTTGTTATATACTTAGATATTATTGATAAATGCAAAGTAGATTTACCATGAATATAGGTTCCCAGCATATATATTTTGAAAATCTACAACCTGAACCTCCTATACTTTCTCCTGGTAGACAGAATAATTTATATGAATTGGACCTTACTTTGGGAGAATGAAGTAGATAAATGCCACCAAAATAATAAACTTAGCCAACACATGTATAGCATTTTCTGTGCCACACTGTATTCTATGCACTTTACTGATCTGAACTCACAACCCTATGAAGGTTTTGTATTATCCCCATTTTCAAGATGGGACCATTGAGACACAGAAAGTAGAACTTCCATATTTTCCTATAGAATAGACAAATTCTTGTGGGATCGATGCTTCTCTTCTCTACTACTTTGCTATTATTTGTGTTTCATTTTGATTTTGGGGTATTTCTTTATCCCCTCTCCCCCAACAGCACTTCCCCAGGAGACACTTCCTAGCTGATTCTCTAAGGCCCCCTCCCCTGTCAGAACTGGGTCAAACAATTAAAATGTAAGCATTCATTTCCTTGTTGACCAGCATGAGTGCAAGAACAGGTTGGGAACTTTTTTTTTTTAATTTTAACTCACCAACTGGGAGTCTTTTTTTTTTTAATATGTTTTATTGATTTTCTACAGAGAGGAAGGGAGAGGGATAGAGAGTTAGAAACATCGATGAGAGAGAAACACCGATCAGCCGCCTCCTGCATGCCCCGCACTGGGGATGTGCCGGCAACCAAGGTACATGCCCTTGACCGGAATCGAACCTGGGACCTTTGAGTCTGCAGGCCGACGCTCTATCCTCTGAACCAAACTGGTTCTGGCAAGGTTGGGAACTTTTAACATTTTCTTCACAGAGGAAGAAACAGCTGCTATCCGATGTATATGACCTGGGCTCCCTACCTTTACATTAGTCTGTAAACTAGGGATGTGAGTCTGTCTGAACCATGAGCTGAAGAGAGCCAGCCAGGATCCCTGTTGTGGGTGAATCCAAAGTGTCTAGGACAGTGTGTGCCACACAGTAGGTTCTTAGTATTTGCTCAGGGAATGTGTGTCCTCCTGTTTCTGTTTGATCTCTATTTACTAACCTACTGATCTCTGACTAGGAGGCAAAGCTTAGCCTGTGCATACTGATGAATGTATGCATATCTACAGATCCTCACCTTTAAAACACGAATTTTGAACTGCCTTTCCATTTCCCGGGCCTTTCTCTGTTCTTCACTGGCAATTCCTCCCTCTCTATGGTTAATGAGACACTCCCCCGGGAGAGACAGAATGTGAGGCGTTGGGAGCAGTTCTGAGTGCCCTGGGTAAAAATGAGCTGCTGCTAGGGCTTGAAGCTCCACGAGGAGAATTTAACCAGGAGCCAAGCGCATTTGAGTCACAACCAAGATTGGCCCGAGGTGTGCTCTGCACATCCGCTTTAGGAGTGGGAGACACGCCTTCTTCTCACACAAACCTCCCAGATCCAGGCGGCCGTGCGGACCCAGGGGTGGTGCTCCAGTCCTGCCACTCGCCGTCCAGACGGGCAGGGGCTGGGGACCGAGCCAGAGCCACAGGTTGGAAGAATCAGGAGCTGTCTGCACGATGGTCGCCCTGTAGAGCAGGTCCCGCGTCACTGCTGGTGTGGAAGCCAGGAGTTCCAGGCACCGGGAAGGGGAAGGAGCCTCTGACACCCGACACCAGCCCTTGCGCCCCGGAAACTTCGCAGGCTGGTGAGTTGGGGAAGTGGGGTTATTGCTGGAATGCGTTCCCACCCCCTCAGGGTGTTCTCAGCGCCCGGCCTTGGAGAAGGAAGTGAGACGTGGATGAGGAGCGATCCACGGCCGGCCAGCCCCAGCCGAGCGGCGAGGGGAGCCTGGCTGTGGGTGAGCGCCTGAGATCCGCAGCGTCCACACAAATACTGGTCCTAGCGGTGATGTGCGCGCGGATGGCATCAGAAAACGAGCTGGCTGTCTTTTTTTTTTTTTGGTATTTGCATTTCAAGCAGCTGGTGAGGATAAAAAACTGGGCACTGCCATGGCAATTTCCTCCCGTTGGTATCTCAAACAACAACCAAGGAATAATAATGATGATGATTATAAGAAGAACGTGTTCAGAGTTTCATTTAAAAAGTAATTTAGTGAGGCGAGCCAGGCAAGTGATCACACATTTCTTTGCCCTTCCTCAGATGAAACAGAAGCAGAGAATTAAAAAGTAATTTCTGTCTTCCAATGTTTTGCTCAGTTGTGGGGTGTGTGTGTGTGTGTGTGTGTGTGTGTGTGTTTCTTTCAAAATTCTGATCCAAGTGTTGCAGGAACTGGGGTGTGAGCAAATGTAATCCTTCAAGTGGTAACAATATATTAGCTTTCAAGAGTTTCCCACCCAATACAGCATAGTCTGAAAACGATTGAAGCAGGTGAAACGTAACTAGCAAGGGAAGCTAGAGGCCGCCTTCCTAGGAAAAATGTATGTTTTATTTAACATAATAATAGCTATGAATTTTCTCTTAAGTTCTGTTTAAGAGAAAAATTTGCGTTTCTAATATTTAGTTACATTCATGCATATTCAATATTATGAAAAGCATATATGTATTGTATGCATGGTTTATAGTTCTACACTTTAATAGTTAACAGAAAAGATAGACTTAGCATTATAGCCTCAAGTATTTAAGTTTATTGAATTTTCAGGTTACTATGAAGTTCAAGTTGTAGGATGAAGTGAGAGCCATTCCCCCTAAATATATTTCATAGTTTCCTAACATAATCCACTACCCAGATGGATCAGTCCTTCTTGAAGGGAAGAGGGGATTCTTACAGATGACCCCCTCTCCCCCCCAAAAAAAGTATTCTTGACAGTTTGATATTAAAGCTGCTTTTCTGTTTAAGAACTGACTATGGCCTCCTATGAAATGTTACCATCATTGATTTCAAAAGGAAAAGAAAACATTGCAGATGAAACTGGATGGGCCTGTTCTCATAGTTGCCAAGAAGGAATAAAGGAATCTGTCATATGTGAGCAAACCACTCTCTCATAGGCTGTTTCTGGAACAGGAATACTTGACTTGATAGGGAAGGTAACCCTAGGATAACTGATCATCTCAGCTCATTGGCACACCAGCTTTTACTAAAATTATCCGCTGGTGTCTGAATTGCTTTTCATGTATTTAACTACTCTTCTGGAAAAGTGGAAGTCATCCAAAGTCCCAGGTGGTTCAGAACAGAAATCTGCTCTTTTCCCACCCTCACTCGGAAATTTCAGGTTAGTTATTTTTTTGATTTTCAGATCAGTAGAGCATGAAATGTAGACCAATTACTTACATAAAACTCAGCTCATAGCTAATCCAGTTTCTTGAGTTGAATCATCAAGGCAGGTTGACCAATAGTTAGGCTCTTAAGCAAGTAATGTAATGTTGAGATGCAGGAAAACAATCATAGTGAAAGCAGACAGGACAAACAAGTTGTTTTCCATGACAAATACGTCCCTTTCTAAAGATGACTGCTAAAGGAGAATGATTTTTTACTCATTGTTAGGTGTACATGGAGCTCGAATTTATTATATAGTTGTAGGAAGTAGGACTATCACTAAGGGCAGTAAAAACCTATTGTAAACCTCATAAATGGAGTTGAGATTATTAGTTCCCCATAAATGGAGTTGAGAGTATTACTTTGTGCCTTTTGCAATCATTATTCTTGCTCCCTAAACATTAACCTTTTCTCATAGGCGCTCCTTACATGAAGAAAACTTGTCTGGAGTGTTAATAATGAGAACAAAATTCTGCTTAACAAATATCTTAAAGTATCTTCAATTAGACACCTAGGTTAATAAATAAATTAGCAATTATGGAAGTTTCAATGCTATTAAAAATACTTAAAGTATAATCATGAGAGTGACTGGGATGGAGAGGGAGGCTTGGTGTGATTCAGTGGTCCAGGGAGAGCCTCAGGGAAGCCATCTTTTTATTTATTATATATTTTTATTTTTAATTCTCACCCAAATATATTTTTTTCTTTCTTTCTTTCTTTCTTTCTTTCTTTCTTTCTTTCTTTCTTTCTTTCTTTCTTTCTTTCTTTTTTTTTTGAGAGAGAATGGTAGGGAGGGAGAGGGAGAGAGAGAGGGCGACAGAAAGAGGGAAAGATTGATTGCCTCCCACATGCACCTCAACTGGGTTTGGTGATTGAACCTGAAACCCAGGTATGTGCCCTTGACCAGGAATCAAACCTATGACCCTTTGGTCCATGGGCCAGTAATCTGAGCCACATAGACAGGGCAAGGCCATCTTTTTCAAAGATCACCATGGCCTCAGTGAAGAGAACATATTATACAGGAACCAGAGTAGACCAGTGAGGAGGGTATTCCAGTAGACCAGAGATGACAGTGGAACACAATAGGTGGAAACAGTGCTCCTAGAGAGAAATGGGTAAACTCAGGAAATATTTGAAAGTGGAGATAATGGGACTTGCTGACTAATTGGATAAAGAGTGGGGATGAAGGAAATGAGAAAACAAAATGATCACCCAGTTTTTTACTGGCGATACTGGGTAGATGGTAAAGCCATTTCCTAAGATGGAGAAAGAAAAACAGGTTTGAAAGAAAAATGAATTCATTTCCAGACCTTTAAGGTATTTTTAGGTATCCAAGTGGAAATGTCAAACTGGGCTTTTGGATATAACCATCTGGAGATCTTGGGAGAAGTCACAGGCAAATAGAGAAAGTTGGGAATCCAGTGCCCATGGAGGCTATTTCGAGCCATGGTCTTGAGGACATCACCCATTGGAATCATTGGCAGCTTTGATAGGAGGTGGAATTCTTTAAAAAAAGGAGTTCAGATAAACTAACTTTAAAAAATTTGGAATTACTATTTCACATTATCCCAAGAAAGATACCACTAGAGCAATTCATGATTATACAGAGACTTTAATCAGATTCATTTTTAAAAATGGCTTGTAGAATGGATGAACTGAGGAACACATAATTAGAAATACTTACAAAGGTGTTAAATGAGCAGTTAGCATAGTGTGAGGAAGAGTAAAACCCAGATAGACTGAAATTTTGAAAAAAAAATGCTAAGAACAGCCAAAAATTCTTCTAGTGTTGTTTAGAGCAAAGCAGCGAATAAGGAAGTTAATGTATGTGAGAGAAAGTGTTACTCAGTGCCTATTGCTCTCTTCTTCTTTCTAATGAAAAGAAATAGTGTTCAAAAACAGGAAGGACAACACTAAAAATTAAAATCAAGGAAATATGAGAAGTTATTGTGACTGCAAGCAACTTTTTCAAGTGAAAAAGAATAGTGGTGGGGGCAGTCAAGAGGACTTGTCTAAGGAAACAGTGTTTTACTTGAGATATAAAGGCTACTGGGTGTCAGTCTGGTGGACAGTTGGGAGAGAACAATTCAGACAGAGCAAAAGTATCTGCCAACTTCCTGACTTGGGAAAGAGCTTGATGCATTCAGTGAGCTGGCAGAAGAGTTCAGAGAGTCGAAAGTAGGCAGTAGAGAGAGGCGCAAGGTGAGGCCAGAAAGACACTTAGGAAGTCATAAGTGTAGGTAGTACTCCAAGACTTAGTTGTTCTAGGGACGGTTTGTATTGGGAAGTTGGACTAAACGATCTTCAAGCTCTCTTCCAAAACTGTGGCTCTATAAATATAAGAACACAATTTGTTTGATGTTTGATATATATTCTAGATCACAAATTAAGAGAGAGTAGTGAAAGTGTAGTTAATAAAGTTGTAAAAAAATAACAGATCAAGGTAAATTAAGTTGTAGTTGCCATATAAACCAAATGTCTAATACCCAGAAATGCAGAAAGAAACTTTTTTAGTAGTTAGAACAAAATCAAGGCTATCAAGTCTCACCCACATAATTTTGGGAACAATTTCAGAGAAGGCTAATTAGATTTCATAAATTAGTAAGGTTTATATCAAAACATTAAGAAGGCCATCACTAACAAAATACTGTTAGTGCTGGATAGTATAGCTATGAATATGAAATTAGTCTCCAAAAGGCTCAATTTTCTCCTGTGTGAAAGGAAAATGTTGATTATTTTCATATCCCTATTGTCTAGCCTTAGACCTAGGTAACTTATAATTTTTGCTTCATATTTTTAGTTCCTCTCTCTTTTTTTTCTTTGTGTCCTTCCTCTCTTCTTCCAATTATTTACCTATCTACCCATTTAGATAGGTAGATAGATATCCATAATACATGCACATACCTACACTTATTCTATAAAAGAGGGAAAAATTAATTTTAAAAGGCTTAGAGAAAATGCACAAGATTTTATTTTAATCTTTTCTTCTGTAGCACAGAAATTTATTTATTTTTTTTAATTATAGTGATCTTGGGATCAACCCAATATGTTTTCTTATGCTTCTCTCTAACTTGCTCAGAAAATTGAAACTGTACTAAATCTGACCTGAGGGATACACCACAAAATAATTAGAAAAGCAAAACTGCTTTGTATTCTGTTTTTCAGTCTAACTTAGGCAAGGACCACAGAGCCTAAGTTTGTTAAAAAAAATTACTCAGTTCTTGCAGTCTATTATTCAAAATATGCTCTTTTTGTAAAAAAAAAAAAGTACTGCTGGTAAATGTTTTTGGACATGTCAAAATATTTTAAAGATAGAACAAAATTAGATTTTCAAAGAGGATAAGAAAAACTTGCATCTTTTAGTGCTAAAAAAAAAAAAAGGTGGAAAGCTTTTCTGAGATCAAGAGGGTAACCTAACACAGGTTCGGCTG